TCATTTGGTTAGGATGTGTCCTGAATTTCCAACTCTTCAAATGTACGGGCAAAGATCAAAGCTACCCTCATACAAACTAAAATGTACATTTACTAATTATTTTTTTGGGGTAAGTACATTACTACTTAATATATTAAGCCAAAATATTTTATACTCCCTTAGTATACTATTCTTTCCCACAGGTAAAACCCAATCTAAGATTAATTTCACGACCCCAAATTTTTAGGATGCAACCTCTTTGAACTGTAGACTAACCTCAATAAAAAAGTTTCTTAATTGCACCCCTTTTGCATTTTTTAAAAAATAATAGCTCAAGATTAAGTAGAGACCATCCTATTTTTGGAAAAGTGAGATCTAAATGTTAAAAAACTTACAATTCAAACTTTTTCCCTTTAAAAATAATCTCATGAAGATGCATACTATTCTCTAGCAAGTAGCATATGGTCATATATTAGAAAGGGAACATTCCACCTCTTCTTTGATTATCCCCTTATTTCTTCTAATTCTACCTCGCGAAACATGAATGTTATATGCATCCCTTTAATGGATTCAGCCTCCGTCATTGTTGGGTGGATGATAAAAACCTGATAAACAATTGCATTAACGGTCCCCATTGTTTAGGGGACCACTGTCTAGGGATCGTTGTCCATCATTTGATCATGTATGTAACCAAGTACAACATGCATATATTTGTGCTATATACTATACAAGTGAGGCATCTGCCGTCCATTTTCAAGATCAACAATAGATAAGAAATGCGGTTCGAAAATGTGTGCATGTATACTGATTGTATGGCTGTCAAAATACTCCAACAGCACGTTTGCCATTTATCTACTATTCATCTATTAACATCAGAAATTTTAAAATATAATTGGACATGATGCCACTCCTTGACATGTCATTGGGCTAGAGGTCACACACAATAAAGTAATATTCAATAATAGAAAGATTGTGTATGTGACTCAAGAATAGAAAGATTGTGTATGTGTATGTGCACGTGTGGGTAGATGGACGGTTACAATTGACCAATAAGGATATCAACATTTTTAAATGGGTGGTCCTTCAGCCCTAAAATGTCAAAATAAATAAATAAAATAAAATAAAATAAAATAAATAAATAAATAAATAAGCGATGTTCATGCAAGAAAAGCCGTTCAACCCTAGGTAGAAGACCCAAACTTGACAAAGAAAACAAAGAATAACATAATGTACTTGTAATAGACAACAATTAAAAATAAGTACCTTAAGAACAAATAAATAATAGATCCAGATTTCCTAGGCAAAGGTTTCTTCTCACGTTTACATCTTCGATCCAAACGATGACAGATCTAGACCGTTCATTCCAATGTGGGTCCCACTATCCACTCAAGCAAAGCCGGATCGGGTCACCCTTGTGGCTGGTGAGTCATATGGTGCAAAGTACATGTAGGTCCCTAGTGTTGCTTCCTATACAGTGGAGAGCCATTGCTCAAGGATCAGGGCCAAGCCTGAGCTCCAAATCGAGCTTCTCCTCCTCGGCGGCAGGATTTCGCGAGCCCTCTTGCGTCCCTTCGGGCTCACCACTACTTCTGGCTCTTGCTCCGCTCGACCCCTCCTCACGAATCTCGGAAAACAACCGCAATTGAGGAGGTTTCCCTGTATCAATCATTGCTGGTCTGACCGAAGCTGCTCCATGATAATATTTGGGGGAGTAACTCATCTGTGATTCTCCCCTCCCAATTGTGCCACCAGTCGTCATCGAGGGATGACGTGACGAACCCATCGATTCATCTTCTTGAACCGGGGGCTGTCGAAGCCTGGCCCTGTCTTTCCTGTGTATGTTCATATGGCCACCTAAGGCTTGTGCAGTCGAGAAGCCCCTCTTGCAAAAGGTACACTCATATGATCGATTCGGTCCCGTATCCAGCTCTGGGTGCTCCGGATCTTGCCTCGACCCCGGCGATCTACTCGGCTCCATCAAGGCAAGCTTATCAGTGCAGTCAAAGCAATTCACTTGACAATTCACTGTCTTCTACAAATGCCTCATGGCTGAGAGAAAGGGCAAAGCTTCTACATATTCATCAATGGAGCTTTTGCGGTGTGAAAAGATAGTGGGGGAAAGGAGGATTTGTAGTGGGGGAGGTTTTTATGTCTTAGGGTTGTGATTTATGTGAAGACCAACACATTAAAAATTAACCATTTTTCTACACGCTTTTGACGTATTCTTCATCAACTCTTATTGTTTTAGCCGGCGGGAGCATCAGATGGCCCCATCCCCTCCAACTTTTCCAAAGTAGTAAATAACAAAACCACTCGATTCTCTCTAAGAACGTTTTTGAGTGCCCATAATGCCCCATCCTCTTATTCAAATAGTCACTTTGCACAAGGCCAGTACTAATAATAACAATATATAACGTCTTAAAAAAGGATGAAGTTCCTAGAAGGCCTAGGTTTTGTGGAAACAAAATAGAGCCTTACGTCAAATCCTCACGCACTTTTGGCAACATGATGGCTCTAAAACCAATTTCTAACAGAGATAATAAAAGTTAAAACTCAAAAATTGGTATGGAGCTTGCGGGTATGTGAACACTTATTTTTAAGACGAAATAGACGGTCTAGATAATTTATTATACTATACATTATTTTTAGAGCTTGAAATTCTAATTTTTTTTTACAATCATAGATGCTCGATGAGAAGGTTTTCCAATGCTTGAATTGAAATTTTCTGAGTTATAAAGTGAGGCTTTATTTATTTGGATAGGGCTGCAGCCCTATCAAATCATTTTCCTTAAAATTGAATAATAACAATGCCTGTACACAATACTAAAAGAACATGGGAAACGGCATGTTATGCATTTGACAATTATACTTCTTGGATTGTTTATATTAAACCAAGGGGTTACCTCCATTTCTGCAAATTGCCCAAAACTCGGTTACTTTTTATATCTTAAGAACATTACTGACTTGTGCCTCTCTCTCTCTCTCATATATTTCTCTCTCACATATATTTTAGAGGTGTTTCTCTCTCTTCTCTCTCTCTCTCTACATATATTTTAGAGGCATTTGTCACCCCCACGAGCCATTGTAGCTGTCAGCTTGTTGCGCTCCAACGCGTTTAGGGCTTTGGATTTTTCCCTTTCGATTCTTTCTGGAAAGCCGCTTTTGAAAACCAGACAGCCTTCTAACTCTCTCTCTCTCTAAAACTCTCTCTTTCTCTCACCAAAAACCTTTGTTTAGATGGTGGCAGTGGACAAATTCCGTTGAGTCAGGGGGTCAAGATACGTACAAAGGCATGGTCCTTTTGGTCGTGGTGTCTATGAATGAATTTCAATGGTCATCATTACATTTTCTTATTGTTCTTCTACTTATAATAATTATTTATTTCTGTGCTTCCTATTTAATAATCTAATAATTATTTATGACTGTCCTTCTTATTTGATAATCTAAAGGATCTAAAATAGGTAGGGACCGCCCTAATTCACCTGAAAAAATTAAAAAAAAAAGAAAGAGGAGTGGATGTTAAAGTCCATGACCCATGACTAGGTTCCCTCCTATTAGGAGCAAAAGTTTCATGAATATATTGACATTTCAAGCACATTCACCTCAAGGCTCAGGAAGATAAAAGAATGTGTTTTGCAAAAAGAAGAAGGTTTATGTAAGTGCGAGGCTCTAAACAATCAAATTAAAGCGCACCTAAAAATTTATTAGAAGAGGATGTTTCAATGCTCAAAATTCTTCAAATTGATCATCTCAATCTCAATATATGTGGATATGACAAAAAAATAGATTTCAAGTCTTAAAAATAATGAATCTTATAATATATTTTTAGACCGTCAATTTTTAATATTTTCAAGTGTTCATAGATCTGCTCAATCTACACTAATTTTTAAAGCTTTAAAAATTAGATATAAAAATAAATTTTTAAGCCATCACATAGATTTACAGTATTGAAACAATATCTTTCGATACTATTTGAAGGCACTCCCTACTTTGATGGTTTAGAGCCTCGGTCTTATAGAAACCACACCCTTGCAAAAAAAAAAAAAAAAAAAAGAAGGTGCATAAATTGATTAACCATTAAATCCACTCTCGGGACTAAACAATGGTTCGGTGGAAAAGACTGGTGTGAGGAAGTAACTTTCATAGTCATGGAGGTGGAGGTGGAGGTGTGAGAAGCTGTACGTCAATGAGAAAAGTAATTCTAGGGTTCCTACATATCCTAGATGGCTCAAGGTTGGGCAGCAAATAGAACGAGTCTATGCATTACATGATTAGATGGACCCCCTCCAATGTTTCCATAGTACAAAGCGCTTATGTCGTCTCTAAAAAATCGGAACTGGATTCCGGCATGGCTCACCAAGTTCTTCCGATCTTTTCAGTCTGACTCGAGCAATTCTCGGCTCAAATCCGGCTATATTAAACAAAGATATCAGAAGGAGAAAAGCTGACCACTGTGAAGATTGAAGTGATTTTGGGTTCGGAAAATTAAAATCATTTAGATCTTAAATCGAGTTGCGATTTTGAAATGGCTCGACAATTTTAAATCACTTTAATATAGCTTCAGAGGATTTGTCCAACAGTCCATTGTGTTTTCATAAGGGAACGATCCGATGAATTATTAAAAGTAACTGTGTAATATAAAAAACTGGAAAGTGCCGGAAAAACGAAACATGGAAAAATGCTAAGGAAACAAAAAGACGTGGGGAAATATGTAAAAATATGATTTTTAATATTTTTAGCTCTTATAATGGCCATTATTTAGGATGTCTTGAAAATCGTGGCTGTAATTTATTTTTCTAGGTGTTTTGTGATTAAAGAATGATCCAAACATCCTGGCCAAGACAGCCATTTTATTTATTAAAACAACTGTTTTGACATATTAGGACTGTTTCATTACAAAAAAAATATTTATATCATCATAACAGGTGGCGTTCGTTAGCAATAGAACAAGCTTTTGTTCCTTACCTTGAATCACAGGATGGATTAGGGATGGTGAGGATTGGACAACTCTTGGAGAAATTTAGAGAAATTAAATGGTTGTCAATGTATTTATCTTTGTAGCATACTTTCATGAAGGTCACAATCACGTACAGTTGTCAAGCACCTGATAGTATAGTATTGTCAAAAATTTCAACAAAAAAAAAAAACTTTTGAGCCATGTTAAAAGGACACCCAAATTCCCAATTTCACATCTACATGCCCAGATTAATTGTGATTTCCTCTGAAAAATAAATGATCTTGTTGTAGGAATTTTCATAAATGAATTATGATGTGTCCCATTGTATGTTAAATAGATGAGCTTACCATACTTTTTTTTTTTTTTTCCAAGTAGGCCCAGACAAGACCCTTTGAGAAAACAATGACCAGGTGGTGTACTCTTTTATAATATTACTGATTAAGTGTCACCTTCCTGGAACAGGTCCAATCTTTCCATATATCAATGCAGCGCAATGAAATCCCCACCATTCTAAAATTCTTGTGCATTCTCACTAGTATGTTGGAAGATTAGGGATACAAGTGCCTTAAGGACCACCCCAAAAGACATTCACATCATAAAATTCCAATGGGTTTGGCACGATTGCAAAGTTTATTCAGGGAACCTAGATAAGGTACTCAATTCTAATGGCGTTTTCACTTTATATGATTCACAGATAATTTATTTCTTTTTACTCAGTAGAGGACATGTCCCTAAGTTTTTATTTTCAAAAAGCAAGTTTAGAGTTGTGAAGGCTTTAAGTATTGTCTAGCAGTAAAATATGGTCCAACCCACTAAGGCTTTTTCCCAAGTCTTATATTTTGGACCGTGGACAATACTTCCTTAATTAATACAAGTTTGCTTTGAGATAGAAAAGAAATGACCATCTTGAAGGAATTACATACCTAGGGGCTTGTACATGCTTATGTATAACGAAACGTAGACAAACTAGGAATCGGGCTTGGATTAAGACGATAGTAGCTGGGATTTTACAGCGGTACATCTCAAGTTCTATTCCTATGTAACTTTGTCAAAAAAACAAAAAAAAGTTTCGCCAAAGTAGTTTACTTTCCATTTTGGGTGAGATCAAGTTATTTTATAAAAAAATAGCGAAAGTGGGGTACTTTAAATTATGGGTCCAGAAACGACTCATATTCATTTAGATATAATTCCTTCCTTAGTAAATCCTTTCAAAATTGAGTTATTTTATAAAAAAAATAGAGAAAGTAGGGTCTCTTAAATTATGGGTCCAGAAACGACACATATTCATTTAGATATAATTCGTTCCTTAGTAAATCCTTTCAAAATTGAGTTATTTTATAAAAAAAAAATGGAAAAAGTGGGGTCCCTTAAATTATGGGTCTAGAAACGACTCATATTCATTTAGATATAATTCGTTCCTTAGTAAATCCTTTCAAAATTGAGTTATTTTATAAAAACAATAGAAAAAGTGGGGCCTCTTGAATTATGAACTCAAAAATGACACATCTATTCAAATATGATTCTTTCTTGAGTCCACTAGCAACGCCAACTTCCAAATCTGTGTATATTGCTTAAAAACACATCTAAATTTTACCAACTAATGAATAACAGAAAATTATCAGAAAATAAACTAAATTGATAACAATAAATAAATAAAATTAAGCAGAGATAGAAATACTTACCTTATAGTGGCCCAAAACCCAAAGTTTCGGGCTTTGATCAGATCGCTCTTCTAGTGTCACCATCTCCTTTTGGATGCATCTTGCTTGTTGGAATTAATAGATCTAAGGGTCTTTTACCTAGATCTAGGGTTCCAAATGCTTCAGAGAATGTTAAAAAATTTTAGATAGAGTCTACTTAAGCTTTTCTAGGGTTACAAGAAGGTTTTCCTTAGTTTTCAAAGGTTTTGGGGATCTCCTAAGGTAAAATCAGAATTTTGGGATTTTTAGCGACTTTTGGGATTTGTTAGAATTTTTGTGGAGTTTTCCTAATTTTCTAGGATCTGAAGTTATTTTCGGGTATTTTCCTAATTTCGAATTTTCTAAGGGATTTAATCTACGTTTTACATTTTTCTTTTGAGAGGATATTTGGTCTATTTTGAAGAGGGTATTTATAGGTTGAACTAGGATTAGGGTTGAAATTAATCAACCTAATCTCTAGTT